CGTGTGGTGCTCCAGAGTTTGTCCTCCACTAGCGCACTTGATCGAGCCATGGACCTGCGTCCCACTTACTGGGCGCTACGCCCAAATTATCGAATTCATTTGGACGGGATCAATAGAACAGGCGAGTTTAAGCATAATCGACACTCGCAGAGAAGAGTCGAGTAACTACCCAAAGGTTAGTTCACCGGTATTAGGACTCGGGCGAACCCAGAAGCCGAGGGTAGTTCACACAAGCAGTTACAGCCCATCGTCTATAGCGGGGCGGACGTACTAGCGCATTTTCCGCAACGAATTTATGCTTCTATTTCATATAAAAAGTCTCCCTTAGCTGAAAAAGAAGCATTACGAAATGCTTTTTCCGGTTCGTTAACGGTCTGCATCCACTCTAGCAGTGCGTTCTTTTGAACCCTTTTAGGTATTTTCGTAAAAAATCACCTCGTGTTGCTCCACTTAGTCAAGGTTGGATGTTCATTTTTAAAAAAACAGGCAAAACCTTTACTGTCACGGTGACCAGATTTAACATTTTTCATTGGCTGTCAACTGTTCCCCAAGCCGGTCCCCTTCGCCCACGTAGCACATCACTTCTAGCGACAGCCAGCCTTTTAAGTTGCCTCCATAACCCTAGATTGGGTTTCTCCCCCAATGTCAGGCTTAGAAATGCAGTCCATGTCGAATGGACTGTCGGCTTCCTGTGGTCGCGGCATGAAAAATTGTTTTTAAATGTTAAGTTTTTCTCTGTTATCTACTTATTCCTTGCCTTGCTTTCACTGTCTGCTTTTAGGATGTTTGGACTCTTCCAAACGGTCTTCTACTTTGGATACATGGCGTTCTTCTGTGTCGCGCTGGGATGCATGTGTGGTGGGTTTCCCCTTCTGTTTCCTCTGATATCGTTTTGATCTTGCTACTTGCTTTTGCTGAGTAGTATTAATTATGGTGTGCTTTTAACTTCTTTAGGAGCTGTTGGCTATTTGGCGTCGAGTGTGTTTGTACGCAAGATCTACTCAACTGTTAAGATCGACTAGAGGGAGGACTATACCGTACGCCTTCTCCAATTCCTCTTCCTACTTCGACCTGCTTTTGAAACCGCGTTCTTTGGTGGATTAAAGGATTTTTGGCCCAAACCCCGTTGCGTTCATTGTTTATTTACTGAGACGTGTATTTTGTTGGTTTTAGCCCCTTCCTCCCCTCCCCTCCCATTCCGATGTATTTCCGTTCTGTATGCATATACACATATATATGCAGACAACAGTGCACCCTGTATCGTGCTCATAATGCTTCTCTTTCACCATTTGTCTTCGTTTTTTCCCTTGTTTTTTTGTGCCTTCTACGGGTCGCTCGCGATTCTGAGAGCGAGGGAACTTTCTTAGATAGCATTGCCGGCGAAGACGAGGGAAACTGAAATGGCCATTTCTGTCTCAGCCAGTCATATCAAACCCTAGGTGGTGCACCACCCGAGGCTCGAACCCAGGACCTGCTGCTCAGAAGTCTAATGTTCTAACCATTAAGCCACTAGCCCATTGTTTTGCCGCTTTAGATCGGAAGATATTGACACACTCGTTGATGAATGCTTACCAAACTCTAAGGGAACTCGCTCGTGTCGCTCTGCCTTGGGGCCCCATCAGCAGCCGCACAGCGGCTAGATACCTAGGCCGACACTATTGCGGCAAACAGGATGGAATGACTAATGCTGGCTAATTTGCTGTCATCAGTCAGCCAGTAGCTAGGCTCTACCGCTGCTGTGATTGTTTAATTCAGGCGTGATGAGACGCTAACTTGGGCAAGTTTCAGTTCAACCGTTTGAATGAAAATTTCTACTGTGTATCCTGTTAGGATGGTAG